TGAAAATAACAACATATTTTTGGACTTTTTGAATAAAGGGGTATGACACGGGCTAAGTTCAAATACCTAATTTTATGACATTTCTTTAGTACTTCACAAATACCTTGAGATATCTTATCACAATAACTTAAATCAAATAGTTGCAAATTGGGGAAAATGGAAGCAAATATTATAACGCTTTCATCACTTAGCCATGTATTGTTAGCCAAACATAGAGTCTCTAATTGACGGCTTAGAACCATTAAAGAATTAGAATTATCCACGCTCTTTTTCCACCAACGTGGATATGGGCATTCCATTTTGATATTGCTAAGTGAAGGACAACTCCTAAGGATGGCAAACAAATTTGAACAATTCTCTGTTTTATTGGTAAAATGTAAAGATCTATATTTTGGTCTCTCACGGAGAGCAGAAACAATACTAGCATTGGTGATGTTCAAACAATCATATATGATTGCCTCTTCAAGAAACTTGCAGTTGTAGAACAAGTGGAAAAGACATTCGCTGGTCATGTAACGATGACTAGAGAGATTAATTTTGCCAAGTTTGGAAAGTGCCAATGAAAGAGTATTTATCCCATTAATGAAGTTATCTTCAGAGTTGGATGTTGCAATTGTACCGAGATTGACTTCTTCGAGCAAAGGAAAACAATCGGCAATTAGTAACATGTCAGAGCTCCTTATAGAATTCATCTGGGAACAATTGAGAGATGTCAAAGTTGTAACATTTTCAGAGAAAGCTCGCAACCCATCTGCAGGAATGATGTTTTGGCTGGAGAGATTGAGGGATTTGAGTTTCAAAGAGAAACTAGAGATTTGATGAAGAAACGCGTTGCGATCACCGTTGAAGGCATTGGGATCACGGTAGAAGGAACGGTTGAGTTTGAGGGATGTGATATTGGGAAATCTCTGAAATAGAAGATGGATGAACGAAAGTATTTTTGAGCCACCAGCGGCGGAGAATCGGAGACGGTTGGTGATGGAGAGGAACTGTTTGGAAACTAGGGAGAGAGAGTTGAGGTAGCAATTGTATTTGTCGTCTTCATGGTTGTTGAGGAATTTGAAAACACATTCCCAACAGTCATCAGGTAAATATAGATCTCCCGCCGCCATTATGTTTTCTGGTACATGTTAGTCCTGCCGACCACGATAATGGTAGTAGCGCGATTAAGGATGGACAGATTTTAGGGCTTACGTCATTAGAAGTTAGATTGGAAAGATTGAAAACAAAATCTATTATACCCATAAATAAATTGAATATATATTTATTTAAATGAAAAAAAAATTTGTAACCAGTGATTTTGGATAAATATTAACCTCAACCCATTCTATTTAAGGCACCAAGAAAAGATAAAATTAAGAGTGAAGAAGAAAATAGATGGCTAAAAATACTACTAACCGGAATTCCGTTTTATGAGTTTTAACTTTAATTATATCTATCTAAATCAAAAGTCATTTAAATTATTAATTAATTTCATATCATTTAAATAATAAATTAAAAAAGTTTAAGAGCTTAATTGTTAATTTATTTATTTAAACATAAATTAATACAAAATTTAATAATATATATTGTTACTTTTGAAAATACTTTATTCAAGTTCTACCTTAAACCTTCAATTGTATTAGACCAACCTATCAGGATACAAAGACATGCAAAATTAGTTTTAACCCTATCATACAATAAAAAAATAGAGTATTTAAAATTTATTTTTTAAGAATTGTTTTGGAATGTAGGATTATTGAAAGAGTTTTGTTTTTAGAAAAATAGGTTATTTAATTAAAAAATGAAAAAATTTATTTAGATAAAAAATTTAAAAATTATATTTGTTAGATAGAAAAGCCTAAAATTTGGTGGTAGTTTAGGGGAACACTCAAGCTGATTTTTTAAAGGATCATCATATTACTAAGATATCTATGTTTCTTGGTGGTTTGGTCTCTATAAAACTTTGTAATTGTTTGAATCTCACAAAATCTACCTTGTTTGCACTTATTAGGATGTGTCATTCACTTACTGAGATTACAATGGAAGGCATTTGAAGAGAGAGTGTAGAGAGTTCTGATTCTTTGAAGGATTTTGATGTAAGCCCTCACTTAAAGTTTTTAAGTTTGGGTCACAATTCCTTAATAAAAAATAAAGACATTAGAATGTTTCTTTCATTTTCCCTAATTTGCAGCATCTTGATTTAAGATATTGCTATTGCATAACTGAAAAAAGTATTTGTTAAGTTCTAAGTAGATGCTCTAAGCTTAGACATTTGAACTTGGCCCATTGTGATAAAGTGACAGGACTTAAAATGAACTTTGTAGTTCCTTAACTGAAGGTGTTGAACTTGTCGAATACAAGTGTCGATGATAAAACACTATCAAATCTTGAAAAGTTATTGTGGACTTTTACATTTATCACTTAAATATTGTAGTTATGTCACAGAAATGTTGTGTCAATGGTTTTATCAAGGAATTCATCTAAGAGAAAACTCTTCTCACTTTAGGGAAATGGATGTCTTGTTTGCTAGTTATGAATGTCTTATTTTCTAAAGTTTTAATTATGTTTTTAGATTTGTTTCTATAACAAATTACTTATTTTTAGAATAACAATTTACAAATATGTATTTAATCGCCTGTTGATGATAATCATTGAAATATAGTTTTAGATTTTTCTATGAATTTTTAAATTTTGATGTTTTTCTATGAATTTTTAAATTTTGATGTTTTTCTTTACTCTTAAATTATATTACTTGGATAAGAATTGTGTCATACCCATTTTCTTATATTCAAATATGTAAGAAATATCCCAAAACATCAATGGCTTAACTGACCTTTGGATTTCTTAGCTATATCTGGATGTTGTTGTCTTTGGCTGGAATTGAAAAGATAACAATTTAGTTTAGCAGTCAACTTGACTTCTGTTTTGGTTCAGAGCTTCCAAATTGTGAACATTTTCATATGGTTTGAGCTTATATTATTATACAAGCTGAAGTATTGATTATCCCCTTAATTAGTTTAAGAGACAATGTTTCACTTTGAGGTGTAGTGTGAGGCACCATGCGGTTTAGTCGTGGGTTTCTGTTGCAGTCTGGTTTCGTAGAGTGTGGTCAACACGGGTGTGCTCTGCAGCAGCTGACCGAGTCTGCCGTTTCTGGTTTGTTCTAGTGCAGGGAGATTTTTCAACCTGGTGCGGCGTATCCACACTATTGTTACGATCTACTGCAGCCTACAGGTTAATCGCACTGCCATTTTGGTCTGCTGTGGCCTATCCTTAGAGCTGTTTTCAATTTTAAATTTTAATAATTTGTATTAGTATACATGATGCCGAAGGTGGGAGTGATTGAGCCTGCGGTCAATGGAAGTTATAATGGAAATGTGAATTTAGGATGAAGGGAGATTGACATTCATGAAACAAAATGGATGATGTTTTAGTGTTGTAATTGGAGTATGTGTCATTGTCAGATATGTATATAACACTGACACGCATAATCATATTCTCATATCTTTGCATTAGTGTCAGTTCTCTGTGATGTTTATGTTTGCGTCCGTGAATCATAGTGCAGCAGAAGCACTATGGTATTCCATGTCTCTCCTTCTCCAGAGCTGCTGACTACTATTTTAAGGTATAAACAAAGTAGCCGTATTGTTGCTTCCTAAGTCCTACCTAACCATGCCAAGAAAAAGTGAACATTATCATAACTTGAAACATAACATTATCCTTATGACTGCTAACTGATGACAATTCAAATTTCTCTATAATATTGTGATTATTTCAAAATAGTAAAATTAACAACAAATAGTAATTTCACTAATTTGAAATCAGCAGAAAATTTGAGTATGTTATCTATTATTAGTCATAAAGAGAAGGTTTTACTTTGAAGTGATGATGTTCACATTTTATCGGTATGGTTGGTTATGACTTATTATGAGGTTACAATGCTATATATGGGACATCATTATGCAACACAATGAAGAATAAAGGAAATCAAACATGCATATTAGAAATACTATTCATTTTCTTTAAACTATTGTCATATCTTAGTTTAAGTATGATTTTGTTTCCACCATACTGTATGCCATGTCTGTATGATAAAACAGAGGTTTCCACTATGTATGGAAACATTCATACTAACTTCTAATCCTTAACAAATTAGATTCGAAACAATCAACAATGCTGCCAATGAAGAATGACACAAAATCTAATACAAGTAATATAATTCAAAGAAGAGTAAGGAAAAACATCAAAATTTAACGCATGCATTACATCCATATTTAAAAATAAAAGAGTAATTTCTCGACCAACAAATCTAAAAACCAAAAACATCTTGCATTTTAGAGCTAAAACTTCATTGGAAGAAAAGACATCCATTACGCGAGAAGAGTTTTCTCTCTTTTAATGTTGGTCTTGATAAAAGAGTTGAGATAACACCATTAGTTGTCACTCCACGACAGCCTCTCAAATCGATCTCCTTCAGATGTGTGCAATTTTTAATCACGCGCATCACTCCTTTTGTTGTGACATATCTACAATTTGGCATTAATAGTTGCAAAAGCCCACAACAACTTTTTGAGATCTGATAGAGTGTTCTATCATCAACCTTTGTACCTGACAAGTCCAACACCTTCATATGGGGAACTACAAAATTCATTTTAAGTCGTCTAACTTTATAAGAGTACCCCAAATTCAAATGTCTAACCTTAGAACATGTTCTTAGAACTTGACAAATACCTTTTTTACATATGCTATTGCAATAACTCAAATCAAGATGCTGCAAATTAGGGAAAATAGAAGTAAACAATATGATGTTTTTATTTAATATAAAGGCACCGTGAGCCAAACATAGAGACTTTAATTGAGGGTTCACGTCAAAATCCTTCAAAGAATCAGAACTCTGTGCGGTCTCCATTTTAATGTCTTCCATTGTAATTTCACTAAGTAAATGACAATTCCTAATGAGGAAAGACAAGGCTAATTTTGTGAGTTTCAAACACTTAGAAAGTTTTATAGAGAGCAAACTACCTTAAGAAATCAGCTTGATGCAAATCCAAATGTTGTATCTTTGGACATTTGGATAACAAATAATAAATTCCATCATAACTATAGCCGATACAATTCTTGAGAACAAAGTTCTTCAAAGGAAGAACTTCCTTTGCAATAGAATACAGCAAATCATCTGAGATATGTGAATAACAGAACTTAAGAATATTCAAACCCTTCAAAGTGACGAGGGAATCGATGTATTGTGAAGTAATGCCATTTGCATCGTTTAGCTCAATATTGAAAATGGATAAAAATTTCAATGTTGGTCTGTCACGGAGAGTCAAAGCAATGGTTGAGTCGAGACGACTGGAGCCGAAGTGGAGGTGAAGGGAATTAAGGTTGGGGAATCTATGGAAGAAACTAGGGAGAAAACGAGATGAATGATCAAAAATGGTGATAGAGAATACGAGTTTATTGGTGATGGAGAGAAATCGTTTAGAGACGAGAGATAGAGATTTAAAGTAGAGTTTCTGTTTGTTTTCGGTTTCACCTTCGCCGCAGATGATGAGAAATTTGAAGACATGCTCCCAACAGTCATCAGGTAAATAAAATAGGAGGAAGGGTGATTTCTGAAAAGCCATCTTCTTCCTATTCATATTGAAGACGTCGATGGAATGAGTTATGTGCCGCCACTGGTTTCAGGTTAATATGAAACAAACTAAAATAAGGTTACTTTTGTGGGATTATGTACAAAATAAAAAATCTACCACTACCCAATTTTGTGCTTTCTATTTTTATTTTGTTAGCGGCTATGGAATGATTAGATTTATTTTTATCTATTTATTCATAAAGTTCAATTTTAAATAGTTTTTTTTAATATTATAAAGAAATTAGGATATGTAATATGTGTAAAATAATTTTACTTCTTTTCAGCGGTAGCAGGATGAAATCTAAAATGGTGACTAATATGGATGCTTTGGTTAACGATTCATGGGTATTGGGTGATTTGGGAATCGAAACCGAGATTCGGGAGAATTTTTCAGACAACATTCATGATGTTATGGCTTTGTTAGATAGCCAGACTTTTACCAAGGGTAAAGAAGATGAAGTTCTTTGGATCCATGAGAAATCAAAAGTCTGAGGTCATGCTACTAAAAAATTGTTGAATTCAATAGTCTTCATTCTCATGCTTCTTTCTTTGCAAATACGTGCAGACTAATTTGGGTTGCTCATATGCCACGTGCATACTAATTTGGGTTGTTCATATGCCTATGAAGATAAAGGTTTTTAATTTGAGAAAGTTTTTAATTGGAGAATTATTATGGATATGTTGGTTTGTAAAGACTAGCTTAAAAGAAGAGGTGTTTTAAGTTCTATTCATAATCTCCATTACATTCTATTTTCTTTTTGAGAAAAAATTGCAGCATATGTTCTTGTCTAATGGAGTTGCTACCCGAGTTTGGATGATAGGACAAACACTATCGCACAATCTGATACCAATCCAGATGACAGACCCCCCACCAAAAGGATGAAGGAGCGAAACTCACACCAAACACTATCGCACAACCTGACACCAATCCATATGACATACCCCTCCACCAAATGGATGACGGATCGAAACTCGCCAAACACTATCGCACAATCTGACACCAATCCAGATAACAAACCCCTCACCAAAAGGATGACGGAGCGAAACTCACACCAAACACAATCACACAATCTGACACCAATCTAGATGACAGACCCCCCACCAAAAGGATGACGGAGCGAAACTCACACCAAACACTATCGCACAATCTGACACCAATCCAGATGACAGACCCCCCACCAAAAGGATGACGGAGCGAAACTCACACCAAACACTATCGCACAATCTGACACCAATCCAGATGACAGACCCCCTACCAAAAGGATGACGGAGCAAAACTCACACCAAACACTATCGCAAAATCTAACACCAATCCAGATGACAGACCCCCCACCAAAAGGATGACGAAGCGAAACTCACACCAAACACTATCGCACAATCTGACACCAATCTAGATGACAGACCCCCCACCAAAAGGATGACGGGGCGAAACTCACACCAAACACTATCGCACAATCTGATACCAATCTAGATGACAGACCCCCCACCAAAAGGATGACAGAGCGAAACTCACACCAAATACTATCGCACAATCTGACACCATTCCAGATGAAAGACCCCCCACCAAAAGGATGACGGAGCAAAACTCACACCAAACACTATCGCACAATCTGACACCAATCCAGATGACAGACCCCCCCACCAAAAGGATGACGGAGCGAAACTCACACACACAGGTTGCTATCACCAAAAGGATGATTGAACGACGCGAATTGAAGGTTACCAACACCAAAAGGATGCAGGCTAGGTTGAACCGACGAGGTTGGCTATCACCAAAAGGATGATAGTAAAGCAATTTACAACGGCCACGCTCGCTCAGTACAACTCATTGGGGAACACCCAACAGGAAGATTAGATTGGAATGAATCAACGGGGTACACCCACCGTTTTGCTTGGAAGTCACAGTTTCATTGAAATGATATCATGAGGAACGCCCATGAAATCTAAAGAGGACGCCCCTGACTGGGTTGAATATATCTTGAGGTTTTGTCTTGGTCAACAAAAGGTCGATCAACTTCGTGAGGAACGCTCACGGCTTTGCTGAAGATGCCCCTGTCTGGGCTGAATCTTGCACTGAAACTTTTGGATTTGCCCAACAAAAGGTTGAACAACTTCGTGGGGATGCCTACGACCTTGAATGATATGCCTCTGGCTGGGATGTATGTTGACTTGAAGATCTGATCAACCACGAGGTTGAAATACGTCATGGGAAATACCCATGTGTTGCACCCTAAAATTTGCCCAACCTTATTCACTTGGTTCATGTTTCATTATCATTAGCATTTGTATATAGAGTCATGTACATAGACTAACCATCTGCATAGCATAAGCATAGCATGTCATTCAACAGGAGATCAATCATTATTCTCATCTCTAGAGGCCTAGCAAGAGGTTATTATTCCAATTCAATCTCATGCAAGTCATCAGGAAAGAATTTGAAAGCAAGGAGTTCAGCAGATCAAGCCTTGAGTCCATCTCCTAGCTGAGGGTATCTGAGGATCAACAAGAGGGTTATGAGCTGTGAAATGCAAGCATGGAGAGCATCTAGACATCTTGAGAGACTTATAAAGTCATTGGGAGAGGAAAACAAGTCATTGAGGTAAGCACAAGAGCTACAGTTGAAGACAGTCAGCTAGGGTTTCATCTGGGTCAACCCTAGGTCAACCCTGGGTCAATTGACTGACTTAAGAGGGCATTCAAGTCTATTGGAGAGATGTGGGGATCAACATTTGACATATGAAGAAGGACATGGAGATATGACAAGAAGAATTCAAGAGAAATCAAGGAGAAGAGGAGTTACTAAATTAGGGTTTCTCTGTAAAATCCCCTAGTTTAGGTCAAATTTCCAAGCAAGATAAGTCAAAATGCTAGTTTCAAATGGCTTCTTGGCCAACATGAAACTTGTAGAGGATCTCAAGACCTTTAATTTGAGTGGTGGAAGACTTCAAGGAGATTTATAGAACTCAAGTTATGGTCCTTACAAGTTACAGGTCATCTGGGGTGTCTGAATTTTTGTCTGTGAAAGTGACTTGACTTCCAAGCTAGTTTTACCCCTCAAGGAGATTTCAAATGAATTCTTGGTCAACATAAGAATTGTTCCTCATTGTCTTAGCTTTCTAGAATGGTATGGCATGCCCTCATATGATGTGGAGAACTCAACTTATGGTCTTGGCAAGCAAAGGGTATTTTGGGCATTTGTGAATTACAGGTCATTTTAACCTATACCCAAAACTCATACAAGGAGGCCTCAAATGGAAAAACTTATAACATCAAACTTGCTCCAAATGGGATTTTAAGTCTAGAAAGAAGGTCACAAGTTATTGGAGAAGCTCATAGCATGATGTTGCACAATTGGTCAAAATATGAACTAAAAAGGCATATAAAGTGAATAATTTCAAGTTGAAAATTGGTTTGGGAGATTTACAAGTCCAAATGGAGACTTCCAATATATGATTTTGAATGGAAAAACAATTCTAAGAACAATGGTTCACACACTTTTTTGAGTTTAGAAGGAAAAAATGAAGTTATCCATGGTTGCTTATCATTTAAGAAACATAATCAAAATGGATCAAAATTTGAAAACAAGGGAATGTGCAAGATGGATCTAGAATGTTCATTTGGGGTCTATATATTCATGAAATGTGCATTGATCAAGGGTTGGCCTCATTTGCACCAAGAATTCTACCAAATTTCACACACTTTTTCATTGAAGTTTCATCACAATTCTCTCAAATTCTTCATCAAGCTTCATCATAATCAACTCAATTCCATTCCATCATCATCACAGATCATAATTGAAGCAAGTTCTTGGTGTGAATCATTCATATTTGAGTGCTTTTCTCAAGAATCTCAAAACTACAAGTTCAAGTGGATTGCATGATTCAAGCAAGGAAACTCCAAGTTTGTGCATACAGAATCACATACATCAAGTATTGATCAAGATTCATCACTTGAAAGCCTCAGATCTTCCATCTCCATAGCTGTTCTCAAGATTTCTTACAAGGTAAGTTTTCCTTCAAACAGCTCGATCTAGTTAGAGATGCATGATTTTGTTAGTGTAGAATTGATCTAGGTGGTTAGGAGATTAGGTTAGAAGAATTTGGAGAGTTTTGGTGAGGTTTGTTAACAGGTGCCATAATCTGTTGGTGTTGATATCTCTTAGATTAGGGTGTTATAATCGTGGCTTGATAGCATAGGTTAACCTCCATCAGATGTAGTTTAAGTTAGGCTAGGTTTGAGGAAGTTTGGTGATGATGCATACCAGTGTATTTCAATGGAGGCAGGATGTTGATCCATTCGTGTTTGTTGATATGGTGAATTTCAAAGGGAATTAAGATCATAGGATTGTAGAGTGAAAGATTTTGAGCAGTTTTCATGTTTGCATCGTGTGGAGTGGTTGCGTGTAGATGGAGAACAGAGAGGGAGAAGAGTACTCGTGCATGGCTGCCATGGTGGAGTCCAAACCCTAGTTGCAGGTTATGTGAAGAAGACACAATCATAGCCTTCCATTTGTGGTTGGACTCTTGACTTCCCAGAAGATCCAAGGGCTCTCGTTTGATTTCAGAATTGGAGGGAGAAGCTGGGTGCCAAACGCACCGTTTCATTAATTGAAACGGGCGGGCCTCAGAATTTCATGCTATCCCCACCCCCAGCTTTCAGGCCCAAACCAATCTGAACGTGTTTTCTATACTATTTTCACCCCCCAGTTGTTTCAATAATTCTGACTGGATGCTGGGCTTAGCCAGAAGCGCTATCTGCACCCCTACCCTGTGAGGCCCATCCAAGTTTGAACTGAGCGAAGTTCCTTTTCCCCCCCCCCTGGCTCATTTAGTTCATTTTATTTTTTCTTATTTCATTTTAATTTTCATCAATTTTCATAAAATCATAATAAATTCATAAAAAATGTTTTTTAATTCATTCTTTTTACCATATTTTCTTTAAAATGTCTAGAATATTATAGGAAAATAAAATTTCATTTTTAGTTTTATTTCA